AGGAGGAAAAGGAGGAGGAGGAGGAGGAGGAGGAGGCGTTGTGGCATTCTGGGGTCTTTTGAAAACAGCTTTTCGTGGATTCGGGGGCGCTCGGGGCTGGAAGCGTATCTGGGCGGCGTCACTTGGCCGTCTCGGAGCCCTTTTTGGCCGTCCTTAAGCGTTCTTGGGCTGTCTTGTGGAGCTTGGGCCGTCTAGGGGCGCTCATGCGGATCAGTCGTGGCGACTTCACCCCCTCCAGCGCATCTACAGAGGGCCCCTCTGTAACAGCCGCAAACGGGGGATGCGAATTTGACACCCCCTCCCGGGACCCCCCCCCGCGGGGGAAGGGACAAAGTGAAGGGGCTTCCCTTTGACGTAATGAGGACGTGGATGGAATTCCCAAAAGCGACGAACCCGTTCCCCGAACAAGGACGGGTGTTTTTTTTTTTTTTTTTTGTTTTTTTTGTTTTCTCTCTCTCTCTCTCTCTCCCCCAACGGGAGAGATCAGGGTCCTCTCTCTCTCTCTCTCTCTCTCTCTCTCTCGGAAACGGAGAGACACCCGACACACGCCGACAGGGTCGGCGGATTTTAGGATCGGGGCGTTGCTCCCGTCGCTCATAATGACGCCCACGCTCCAGCGCGGGCCTCATTTTTTTCTGGATCCGAGTGCTTCCTCATCGTTGTCGCCCCACTCCCTTTCCCCTCCTCCGCCTTCCCCTGGCCGCTCTGCTCCTCCAGTTTCTCTCACACCAGCTCCTGTTGCTGCTGTTCGTCCTCCTCTCTCCTCCTCCTCCTCTGCCTCGATCTCCTCCTCTCCCCCCTGCTCATCCGCCACTTCCTCTTCCAAGGAGCGCAGCTCAGCCTGTACAGCTGCGCATAGCCTTATATAAGTCGGGCCTGCCTCTACAGGAGGGATATTCGAACATAGTGAAGCATAGTCTGGGGGATGTTTTTTGAGTATGGTTTGGCCAATTCGGGATACTGTTTTACATGTTGATCTCCCTGTAGGGGGACGGGCCCGACTTGAGCATAGCCCGATGAAGT